CCCCAAAACCCCAAAACCCCAAAACCCCAAAACCCCATGCTATTAGTATATGCCATTAAAGTAGGAAAGAAGACATTAAAATTGAATATTCTCAAAAATAATCTAAGAAATATTATCTCTTCAATCGGTGTCATCATTATTTTTTCCAATAGCCTTAACATCAATAGACTTGTGCTACTTATTCTCAAGATCAAAGCTAAATAGTTATCCCTAATCATCAAGGAACATCCAAATCTTTTAATCTTCATAGTAATACCTATTAGGCATGTTCTGATTAAACTGAGAAGATCCATATGAGCCTTCTTCAAAATTGTGTTCAATAAGTTAAGCTTCTGCTGGCTCTTAAAATTAAAAAAACTAATGTCCTGCTACTTAGAACTTAATCTCGAGCTCATATATCTTGCTTACTTTGCTCTTTCTAAGAACATTACCTCCAAATATATAGATCTTTTCTTTCTCTTAATTATCCTTATGGATAAAAATCATTGGTCTCATCAGGTTTAACTGATTTTAAAATTTTAAAACTTTAAATTCACCCAAAGGCTCAGTTAGATCTAAGTACTCGATATCATCTTTACTTCCGAATAGAACGAACAAATAATCTCTGTATACAAAAGCATTGTGAGCTGATCTCTTGCTTTTGAGTGGAGGAAAGCTAATATCATGTTCCATATGTACTCTATCTGTACTTGGATCTATTGATAAGAAGTATCGGTAAGTCTACTCATAGGTTTTATCTGAAATATCCCCACTACCTCCTGTAATGATCAATTGATTTTCATAAATTACTATTGCCGAATTGTTGAAGAATTTGTTAAAAGGTCCTTAGTATATCATGAATTCAGTATTTTCTTGCCTTTAAAATTCAAAAACTTGGTTAAACTTTTTGTTCAATCCAAAAATTATATGTCTTAATTCCTTTTAGCCAGTCTTTTCATTATTAAGTTCCACATTCAGAATAGAAAGTAAATTATTAACCTTTTAAATATCTTTAGACTCCTCAAAGAACTCTTCTTGTTTAAGATAAGCTGGTTTTTAACTATCCAAGTGCACAAGTTTTAGCACCTTTTATTTCATATAGAACAATGCCATTCTCATTTCCTATTCAGAGATAGGGGGCATTTCTTCAGCAGAAGACTCAAAATTTTGTTTCTTCATTGGTGTGAGATTTTAGCGATTTTTATGCTATCTCTTTTTTTCTACTTGCTTCTATTCTCTCTTATTTTTCTTAATAGCGCTTTCGAACTTAGAGCTAATAGATATAACTTCTAAATCTTTTTCCTTTTTTACTGCACCCCTTTTCTTGAAGTTTGTCATAAAAGAAGCCCCATCGCTAATTTCTCCCATCTCAATTGAACTAATGTCATTGTTTGAAAAAGTTCCGAATTTTTAAGGAAGTGAGGACTGCCTATGTTTTGAATCCTTTTCTTTCTTACTCCGAATGCTGGGCTTTTTAGGTTTATCTTTTTCTTTTTATTTTTTCTCCTCTCTCTCTCTTTTGCCTATTATTCCCTTTGAATGCTCCTATCTCTAGATAAAATTAATTCTGTCGCTTAAAACTTATCTTTTTTCAACTGAACTCTCTCTGCATGAATCATCTTTGTTTGACATAGTTGATGAGAAGTAATTATTCATCTTCTTTTAATTAGGTTAAACATCATCCTTCTTCTTATGATTTCTCTGTGGAGCAGATGCTTACTGAGGCGACTTGATATTTTTCAAATTTCCATCTACAAAACTAACAATATCTTCAAGCCTATGCTTGATCTCTTTTTAAAGATTTACTGTTTTAGTGTTCTTGTTTTGCAAATAATCGTCAAGTATCTTGAATATCTTCAATCTCTAGTTATCATCAGGAGTCTAGGTAACTTAATCTATCTTTTCCTTGATGGTTCTAGAAAAACTTAATAACTCTTTATCAGAGTGAATCTCATCAAAAGCTCTCTTAAAATGTACCTCAAGTTTCTACCTTACTATCTAGCATAATGAGTCTACTTATGTTCTAAGTTATCTCTCTTGATTTATTTAGTCTTTTTTAATAAGCTGCATAATATGATAGAGGTCCTTCTTGCCATAAGATTAGTCAAGAGAACTTATGTACTAAGGCTTCTCGTTCTTACCTATTTCTAAATATTCTCTGATATATCTGTCTTTAAAATCCATTTATTCAAGCCTTTGATCTTTGAGATTTTTGTGATAAAAATCCTCATGTCGATCCATGCACTCCTTACATATGGACTATTTGCACAACTGGCACATGAATCTATAGTACTCATGAATATGCTTGTTAAAGAATTCATTGTGGGAAAGATGCCCGCCAAAATGACTCATCCTCTGATTAAAAGGGATATTTATTAAATTGATTTAAATTTGATTTTAAAATCTTAAAGTCTGTTGGTGAATTTTCTCACCCACATTACCTCAGGGGTTTTGGGGTTTTGGGG